GACTTCAGGATAATTACTGAATAAAACAGCATCAGCTGCTTACTTTTTCAGAGTTTAGTCTGAGCTAGAGTATGTCCAGACTATGTGCTACACAAGAAAGTGCAAAGACTCTACACAACTTCTGCAGATAGGTATCAGCTTAGTTGATTTCTAAATGCATTAAGGTAAGGGTACAACATTAGCTATTGAACGTGATTGCCAGTTTGCAATTTTTGCTCCCATGGTATTTAGCACATTGAAGAGCAAATGTGTTAGTCATTATATTAACTCTTTAACTGTGACTTCTCCCATCAACTCAAGTGGCAGATACTTTTTTTTAAGCTAATATTTAAACTAATCCTTTTTAATTGCTGCTGCAATGTAAACTCACCAATAGCATCATTACACAAATAGGTGAAGAAATAAAATCCAAAGAGAAAAGCAGAAAATACTGAAATAAAGTAACTAATACTGTATTAGATAGAACCTTCTCTATGTCTTCTTCAAAGGTCAGAATTACCTGCTTTCCCAAGGGAATTCCAAATATTTCACTTTTAACTTTCGTAAGAAAGGAGCAGTGCAGAAGTGTGTAAGTTCACTATAAAACTTGTACATTTCAAAGTCAAAACCCATAGCACTGCAACATCAAAGACATGTGACAGCACATCAGGTTTTTGGAATCTTTGATTAGGCAGGATGAGTTAGCACCATCTCCATAATGCAGAAAAGTGAAAATACCTTTTGGAAGAGCAGGAAGAGAAGGCTAAGGGGTGGTTTCCTCCTGTAGTGTATTTATAACCACCTCCCTGCAAGGGAACATGGTTACCAATCATCCTGTCTCCCTATGATGGACCAATACAGGATCCTGATGTGCCAGTACATCAATTTGTCAGAAGCAGCTGGAGCAGCATTAAACAGCAGCACAGCGAGCAAGTGTTCAGTGATGTTATGGTGCTGAACGGACATAAAAGCTCCCAACAGTATGCTGCTGCTGCTGAAGAACCATCACTTTAGCTGCTAACCATGTTTGCTGTGTTTTTAGATGGGAATGCAGTGAGATAAAATGAACCACTACAAAACCAAACACCATGCAACACTACTACATTCACTTCTTGTATAGAATAGGGCAGAGTAAGAACAGTCCTGTCCCTGCCCACTGGTATGAGAAACTGAAGCCTCTTCTGGAAACCCTTCATTGTGCCAAACTCATGCTCTTGCCATGAATGTCAATGAAATTTAAAGATCTGCTTATTCCTGGTTTTCTGCCCTGTCTCCTATCATGTTCCCCACTTGGCACCATTTCATCAATATAACAAATCCATTAGGAGCATTGCTTGCACAGACATCTGACTATATGGACTGCTCTTTAAATGGATCAGAGTTACCTTCTATATTAAAACCATGACCATATTAGTAACTGCTGTATCTCCACAGAATCCCTTTTAAAAGCTGAAAATCCAAATTAACTTTTCTTTCCTTATGCTGTAAGGTCTCTCTTAGCGCATGCTTATTGCATTAGCACAACCAGCTCTCCCAAACCAACTTAACAGATTTCTCCCACTGAACATATCAAATTGGCATCCTCTCCTTCTTGCTTCTGATGACACTCATCCTTACCCCTGTGTGCTGAAGAGTTGGAGCTAATGAAATGATCTGTATATCATCATGCTTTAACTCAAGATACTATCTAATTGGATCATCTTGAGCTATTAAATATGCTTAGTTATATATTAAGACCTTTCAAATAAAGGGAAACCTTTTGGGTTAAGTGCTCAAAAACATTTGCCATGACTATTTTTCAAGATACCTTCCTATACATTTAATTAATTCACTTAGTGACTACTAAGCTAAAGTAAAATTAGCTTGTGGTTTTACAGCTGAATACAAAAGCAGCCCACAAAAGAACATGAGCAGATTTCCAAGTTTTGTTGACTTTTGAGTACTTGATTTCATCAAGCATGTTTTTCATTTAACATTTAAAACGTCCCTGTGTTTCCGGTGCTTCTAAATTCTGTAATTAGTGCCTATAAAATCCCTTTCATTTATTATCTGGAATTTAAAATTCTGTTCAGCATTTTACTACTGTTCTAGTACTATCTATACTAACAGAAATCTATCATGCCACAACAGCCTTAGTCTTGCTGCAACGTGTGGTTAAGGACAGCCTGAGCCATCCTCTCTCTAGTCCTTCATCAGGGGCTGGAGAATAGCCTGTCCACATCCAGCACTGCCATAGCAGGCAGTGAACTCCAGAGCCTTACACCAAAACATATGGTTAGCTTTAATTTTCTTTGCGAGCTCCCAGATATTTCCAATGTGGTGCCTACTTTATCTCTTGTAGAAGGAAACTGAGGGCTTTTCTATTCAGAAATTATTTTGCTGGCAGTCAGAATTTCCCTGAAGATTGTAAACAGAGGAGCATGATACTTCATCATGTAAACCCACCACTGAATAACATCAGAATTTTCTAGAACAGAGAAAATGAATTTACCTCCCCCAGATGTTGAACAGATAGATATACAATAGCTATAAAGACTTATCACAAAACACTGGTGGTGAACAAAGAGGGGAAGCACTTGACACAGACCATTACAGGCCAGCTGAATGTCATCATAGATACTATCATAACCCAGCAAAAATTCACTCATCTTCCTGTTCCACTAATGATACAAACAGAAAATTAACAATTATCTGTGTGCCAAAAGTGTGACCCACTGCTGTCAATTGAAAAGATAGACATGTTCTTCAATTATTTGCTGCATTGTACTAATTAAACAGGAGAATTATGGGAACCTTTCATTAACCTCTCAGAAAGTACATGTATTTTAAAAGAACTACATTCAAGAGGAGAACCAGCTCAACAAGGCTGAACACCAGCAGCATTCATTCTTTAATATTCTTTTGTCAGACAACAGAAAACAGATGTGTCGTGGTTTAAACCCAATCAGGTAACTCATTCGCTCACTTCCCCCCCTTTCTTGCCCTCCCCCTGCTCTCGGAGGGACGGAGAGGAGAATCAAAAGAATGCAACTCCCACGGGTTGAGATAAGAACAGTTTAGTAACTAAGGTATAACACAAATCACTACTGCTACCACCAATGATAATAATGATAAAGGAAATAACAAGGGAACAGAATACATCATCTCACCACCAGCCGACCGATAACTCGCCCCCCCCCCAGCCCGACCAAGCTCTGACCGATACCTCCTCCAACCCTGCAGTCTCCCAGCCCTTCCGGCTAACTCCCAGTTACATCCTGGGCATGACGTGCTGTGGTATGGAATACCTCTTTGGTCAGTTTGGGTCAGGTGTCCTGTCTCTGCTTCTTCCCAGCTTCCCCTCCCCCCTGGCAGAGCATGAGGCTCACAAAGTCCTTGGCCAAACCAAAACATCCTTGTTATCAGCTCTGTTCCCGAGCCGAAAGTCAAAACACTGCACTGCACCAGCTACCAAGGAGGAGAAACATGACTGCTACTGCTGAACCCAGGACAAGATGTTATGTAGCAACTTCAAAGCCATATGAAACTTGCAAATTGCACATGATCTACAGACTGCTTTATTGTGGTCAGCTGATGATTTAGAATATAGTTGGTATAGAATCTCCCTCAGCAAGATCCAAACGTGTACAAGGGGCCAAATGTGCCAGTCAATCTGACCTTCCAATCATCTGAAAAAGGGTAGATTTAGATTAGGTACTAGGGAAAAATTCTTCCCTATGAGGGTAGTGAGGCACTGGAACAGGTTACACAGAGAAGCTGTGGTTGCCCCATCCCTGACAGTGTTCAAGGCCAAGTTGGATGGGGCTTGGAGCAACCTGGTCTAGTGGAAGGTGTCCCTGACTGTGGCAGCGAATTGGAACTGGATGATCTTTAAGGTCCCTTCCAACCCAAATCATTCTGTGATTCATTCCAGACCCCAGATGCTCTCCCAAGTATTTCATGCACTAGAGAGAAGCCACAGGAAGAATTTGTATTTGGGTACAACACCAAAACAAGGATAAATCTCAACATTTGAAGCTGGAGGCAGCAAACAGCCTCAGCGCAACATGCAGCATGAAGGAATCAAGAAGACACATGCAGAGAGCATTCCCCCCAGTCTTTAGTTAAAAGAAAAGACAGCTCTGAAGTCTTCCAACTCAATGTCTAAACCACGTAAAATCAAAATTTTCATAGCCTCTGTGCAAGTGCATTAATATTCAACGTCATGCTCAAATAAGACAGTTTAAAAAAATGCTAAATCAGCCTTAATTTTTATGTCATGGACGATCCAAACAGAGCAATATATTCTGTTGGATACCAAAGTCTTTTAAAACGTGAACCAATACCACCACTCCAAAAACATCTTGAAACTGCTAACATTCTGTGTCAGTACAGTAATCTCCCCTATAGTTCAGAAAAGACACAGGTAGGAGACAAGATTTTCCCATCTAAAACAAAAGGAAAGAGAAGTTCTGACCTCAGAAAGCACTGAGATTGCTTGCTCATTCCAACAGCTAGCTGAGATACCAACAAAGATATAAAGAAACCTAATTATTATCTACCATTTAGAATAGTACTTTATTGATCTATTTTTTCTTTTGATGATACAGGTGTTAGGATCAAAATCTACGCTTTGTTGGACCATAGTCTCTGATTTCATTTTATGACTGCTGAGCAAAGTAAAATCAAAACGTATGTCAAAAAAGGAAGTGGAGTTTTGGTTTAGGTTTTCACATTTTTCTTTTCCACATGTAGAAAACCCAAATAAAGTTATGCTGCCAACAGTTCCACTGTCTACCTGCCACTGAAGGCAAGTTTGTAAATATCAGGAGAGGCTAAGTTTCCCTCCAAGCTGCAGAATCATAAGGAGCTGACAACATCAAATGCCAGAGGCAGGCCAGAAGTCTCTTTTTTTTTTTGTGAACACTGATAAAAAGATAGTCCACAACAATGGGGACAAACCAAACTGTCACAACTATCCAAAAAGCAACAGAATAAAGAGTTCAAATGAGATCAGAAATGGTTAGTATACATGACTGTACCTTGGTCTATCATTTGGAAGATATAATTTATCAGTGCAAGCAGTGCAGCTTGTCTACTATACTTAGGGCTAAACCCAGATGGATTCAGTCAAGGAAATCTGAGGATTCTAGATGCCACCAGAGTCGCCTTGCGCACAAGCTTCCTTATAGCTTTCCCTAAAAAACAAAGAAATTCAAGACAAAAAAAATGGTGAAAACTTTCCTCATCTAAGGATAATTTTTTAAGCAGGAAAAAACTTTTGATCCTGTAAGTAAGCAAGCACCTTGTTCTCCCATTCACTTTCAATACCGGACAAATACTTCCTCAGTAGACACTCCCAAACTTGGAAGAGTGAAAGTCACAAGCTGCAGCCCAGATCTTTCAAGCTGCTATATTCACTTCCACCAGTGTAACCTGCTGAGACTTGGGAAGCTTCCTCCCTCATACTCCTAACCCCAAAGAAGCAGGTACTATTTTCAGAATGACCAGGGAGGTGCTGAGAGTTCCATCCTGATCTAAGTCATTGAAATAATTAAGTACTTTGAAAACTCTGTAGGGTGAAACCCACTGTACAGCTGCTGAAGGAATTCAACTCAGATAAAACAGTTAACCCTTCATCAAAAACAGTTCAGCAGAATGCTTGTTGTAGGGTTTTAAGAAGCTTCAGTAAATGGAATTTAAAATGGAGACCAGAAAAATCAGGGTACAGGATACAGAGAAGAGGTGTTCTTTCTCTTTTAAAGACAGAATCTTACTAATGGAAAACAAAAACAGGGGGAAGAAGGGAAATAAAATCACACAAGCATATAAATTAAATGCTCTGTTTCAGAGAAGTAAACTGTATTTCTGTCACCAGAACATATGGAGAGAAAGTTAAGGGACCCATTTTATATTAATACTGGTATTCAAAGCAGAGCAGCCCAAACCATCAACATCTCATTCCAGGTCTGTACAGCATCAAAGACAAAATCCTTATGGATCTCTATAGAAATAGATTCTCCTTTCACTTTTCTTCAAAAGCCCTTCTTTTCTAGAAAATACATTGGAAAGAAAATGCAAGCAAGTACTGAATAGGGAAAAAAAAATCTATTATGTATGTCAGGGTGATCTCAGTGCTTATTTACACATGCTTATATTTAAATTTGCAGAGCTTTGAAATTCACGAATATGAACTACTGTTTCAAAACAGGTGGTTTTCTATGGAGGCATTTGTCATTATACGAATCTAGTCCAGACAGCAGCAATCCATTCAAGTTAGTTACTCAGGTGTGTATCTGTATGCATCCTACTCATGAGGAATTTTCCTTCTATTTATATTTGCACTATGAAAAGTTGTGCTTTTAATAAATGCCAAATCTGAATCAAGCCCCCGGTATTCTTTTGGTGGAAATGGGGCGAGTCCTCTGGGTATGAAAACCTCATATCTCTACTACAGTTTCCAAAGCATTGGAGCTATAATACTTAAACAAGCAGGGAAATGGTGTATATCACTGCTTGCAAAGGTTCAGTATAAGCAGTGAAGAGCTATCAGTACATGTATGCAACATGTAAAAGGTAAATTATGACATGCAGCAAGCCACATCTTTGAACAACAGATGTGCATAGTGCACAGACTTTTCTTTATATAAACAAATTTAATACATTTCCCATATCTTACATTGCACTTTCCTTAAAAAGGCAGAGCTCTGTTAAACAAAATCCCACCCCTTATGACTTGCCTTACAAGCTGGCTGGCAAGTAGACATGGGCAATTAGACACCAAGGGCAATTTCTAAGAGACGTCACACAGAAATACAGAAACATACATGTACTTGAATATTCTTGTCCACTCTCTGGCTTAAGAATATTAGGTGCTCAATACTTCTTCAATGATATGATCAATGACTGTGGTGCTTGAATAAAGAACAAACTAGGTTATCTCTAAACCATCTATGCCACCACTGAAAGACCTCATCTAAGCATTTATTTGCAGCAGACAATGATAGGAGAACTGTGACAAGTTGTATTTCTATCATTTCACTAGGAGCCATTTGTTGAGGTTTTCTACTTTTAGATTGCAAACCGCCATATATAAGGGATCCCCTTATCACTATATCCCCCTCATGGAGTAAAGAAACAGACCTGTCACCTAAACACTGGCAATGTGCTTATGAGCATTTCAATTTCATAATCACCTTTGGGATGACTTCCACACTATTTTTAATATCCACTATAATTACGGATTAGCATTACTTTTCATAAGTGCTCTCTATACATTTTGAATGCAAGCCACCAAAAAGCTATGCCTGAGAACGACTCCCATTCTTTGCTCTCCCTCCAGTATTTACAAATTTATTTCTGGATGAAGATAAAAATCAATATAAAATATCCCACATTTATCAAAGTGCAAAACTACCTGCCATACTCTAATGACTATAATGTCAAATGACTGCTGGTCATTTGTACATATCTGTAACCTAGGATGTAGTTCTTACATTAAAGAACACTAATAAACAATAAAAAAGTCATCTAACAATAGAAAGCTCATCTGAAAACAAAACAAGATAAAGTATCAGTGAACTATGCCATTAAAATGTATGGATATATGGGTTTTATGTACTCAACATCAGTGTCAACTAACAAATGTGAAACATCACATATATTATATTTGGCTATTGTGGGAAGAGAAGGGAAACTAGAGACTACCTTCCCCAGTCCCCAAAAGTTATATTATAACATATATAGGAAAATCTTAGGGTAAAATGCAACTGCTACTTCCAGGATAGGATGTGGTTGGCATGCACAGAATCTACCTGGTGATTGCAGGCCCTGCTCCCTGCAGGAGTGGGAACTTCAAGCCACCATGTACCGATAAACCACACGGCAGGTGCCAAACAAGGAAGCTAGATTTGTATTTGTAAAAGCAAAGCGAGAGTATTTTACAGCCATCAGTAATAAAGTATGACTAGAGTCACTCAAGCTTCATAGGCATAGAGTTAAAAAGTTGAAACTTGTGTTATTATGGAGAAACCTAAACAGATGCAAGGGCCTCCTACAAGGTCACGATGAACAACACTGGCAAAGAACTGCCAGTGGGAGGAAAGGCTTTGCCTTTGTGTAGGTGGATTGAGAAACAGAACTAACAAACCTCTAATCAGGAAAGACTATCCCTGAAGCCTGGTTTAGCACACCGACACCATCAACATATGGCTTCATGCATCAGCAAAACATGACTAGGCTGTCCTTTCAATGGAAATGATGCAACCTCATGAAAACTAATTGACTACACTGTACATTGGTGGGAAGGTTACAGGGAGTTACTGACCTGAATCATATTGTATAAATATGTAAAATTAGTAAAGGGAAAGCAAGGAAGACTCCAGAGTAATTGCTGGGATCAGCTGATGGACTGAACCATCTTCTCCCATGTAGGGATGCATACTGGGTATGAGTGTCAGATAACTAACACTAGCTGTTATTAGTGATTACAGTCTGGTTCAGTTATCACTTCAAGCTTGTTTTTGCAATCTATCACAGGCAATCAGGAACCTTAATTTGTCACGATTTTGTATTAATAGAGTGTCATTCTGTAAACTGACAGTGCTAGCCCTTTGTGGGCGCCAACAGCCATCGGCAGTGGGGAACAGATTTGGATAAAGTGGGCAGAGCTGCTGAGGGGTCCCCCTGATGCTGTTGGCACATTTCCCTGAACAAGTCAGTTGAATCACCCTCCAATCCAGCAGGACTGTTCAGTGAAGGGTTCCTATAATGGGATGCTGACAGACTGCTTGGGCACAAAGGTCTTGGCTTTCCTGGGTATTGATACACAAATCAACTAGGGGTTGAGAAAATCCCCCCCCCTTTCACGTGACATGCTATCCAAAACCATAAACTCTAAGAGGACACTTGACCCACCCAGATTTTTCTAGGTTACTCATTTCACTGAAAAACATCGGAGATTGCCATACGAGTATGTGTTTGGCATAAATAAAAATTAACAACAGGCCTAAAAAGATTTTAGCCCATTTAGCTAAACAGTCAATGGGAAGTACTCCATGTCCCACTTACTAGGATGAAGGACTCCCACTGCACCTGATGAAATCCATCCACGGGTCCTGAAGGAGCTGATGAATGAAGTTGCTAAGGCACTGGCCATCATATTTGAAAAATCATGGCAGTCAGGTGAAGTTCCCGATGACTGGAAAAAGGGAAATATAACCCCCATTTTCAAGAGGGGGAAAATGGATGACCTGGGGAATTACAGAGCAGTCAGTCTCACCTCTGTGCCTGGGAAAATCTTGGAGCAGATTCTCCTGGAAGGCATGCAAAGGCACATGAAAATCAACAAGGTGCTTGGTGACAGCCAGCATGGCTTCACTAAGGGGAAATCCTGCCTGACCAATTTGGTGGCCTTCTATGATGGGGCTACAGAACTGATGGACAGGGGTAGAGCAGTTGATGTCATCTACCTGGACTTGTGCAAAGCATTCGACACTGTCCCACATGACATCCTTGTCTCTGAATTGGAGCGACATCAATTTGATGGATGGACCACTCGGTGGATCAAGAACTGGCTGGATGGCCACACACAAACAATTGTGGTCAATGGCTCAATGTCCGGCTGGAGACCAGTAACGAGTGGTGTCCATCAGGGATCTTGTCATTGTTGCTGGCATGGACACTGGGACTGAGTGTGCCCTCAGCAAGTTTGCCGATGACACCAAGCTGTGTGGTGCAGTTGATACGCTGGAGGGAAGGAATGTCATCCAAAGGGACCTTGACACGCTTGTGAGGTGGGCTGATGCCAACCTCATGAAGTTTAACCATGCCAAGTGCAAGGTCCTACACCTGGGTCAGAGCAATCCCAGGCACAGCTACAGGTTGGGCAGAGAAGAGATTCAGAGCAGCCCTGTGGAGAAGGACTTGGGGGTGTTGGTTGATGAGAAAATGAACATGAGCCAGCTTCAGTGTTTGCTCGCAGCCCAGAAAGCCAACCGTATCCTGGGCTGCATCAAAAGGAGTGTGACCAGCAGGTCGAAGGAGGTGATCCTGCCCCTCTACTCTGCTCTTGTGAGACCTCACCTGGAGCATTGTGTGCAGTTCTGGTGTCCTCAACATAAAAAGGACATGGAACTGTTGGAACAAGTCCAGAGGAGGCCACGAGGATGATCAGGGGACTGGAGCACTCCCTTATGAA